TGTCCACAAAAGCATACATTGCTATGACGATGATGACTAAGTCGACGGTCGATAATAGGTGGTGACAACTCATACTTTATTTATATTTTATTAAATATTATATTAAGTGTTTTTAAATTTTTTTTACTATATTTTATTTTTTCGTAAAAAATATTCTACAACATATGACTCATTTTTATTTTTAATAAATTTACGCTTATTTTTAGTATTAGGCTTTGAATCGATTCGTGTTAAAATTTTAAATATACTTAACAAATATAAATTAATTTAATTAAATTTTTAATTTCTTACACGGTAATTATTATATTTCTATTTTTTTTTCTCAATAAATAAATATTTATATTTATATTAAAACTCTTCGGGTTTGTTCTTTTGTTGCAAAACACAACTTCCAAAAAATATATTTTCCTCATAAATTAATATATTACACACTCGTTCTCTTTTATATTACATACTCAATTTTCTATAACTCACATAAAATAGAAAAAAAAAAAAAAAAACCTTCAAACAATTTCGCTAAATTTTATTTTAGTTATAGATATTAATTTATATTTTTAAAATACAAATAAAACTACTCTATCATGTAAAAAACAATAAAATAATATTATGATTTAATATTAATAATTTATTAATTTACATACTTAAATAATTGAAAACAAATGAATAATCTATTTTGAGACAAATAGTATTTTTTTTTTTTTTTTTTATGACGTGGGAAGTCGCAGACAAATGATATATTTTAATAATAACTAGTGGTATTTTAAGTCAAATGTCGATTTTGACTTTATAATTTATTTGTAATTAAATGATATTTTTGTAAATAAATTAATATGTAGTAGAGTATGTAATTACTCAATAAAAAATATACCTATCATAAATTGACAATAAAAATATATTTTAATATTTGTCATGATATTTTTTGTATATAAATTGTGTGTGTATATATATAAATGTAGAATAGTATTGACATACATAAATGTAAGATTAAAAGTTATATATTCACTAAAAATAAAAATGAATATTTTAAATTTATTTGTTTTGCATTCGTAACAGAAAAATATACCATTCATTTCCTATAATTTTTAATAAAATTACATTATATTTCTCACAAAAATTATAATAAATTGCTATTTGAATTAAAATTTAAATAAAAAGTTCAATTTCAAATAAAAATTAAACAAAACTTTTTAAATTTAGTGACCCAAAAAAAAAAACATAATACCTTATAAATAAAAAGTGTTGATTTGAATTTGATTTAAATAATATTTGTAATATTTTGTAAAAAAAGTATAATATATTTTTATTAAAAATTGTGCAAATTGAATAATATTGATTTTAATTTGAAATTATATGAAACAAAGTTGATTGGATAATGGTGATTTAAAAAATAATGTATTGATTGTGCTTGGTACTCTTTTGAATTTAATATCTAATATTTATTATTATAGTTTTATTTTTCTTATTTATGCATTAAATTTAATTATTGTATATAAATTCACCAATATTCTTAATTATTATTATTATTATTGCAAAGATTTAAATTTTTATTTGTTATTTAAATTTATGTCTATTTCTTATTTGTTGGAAATAAATATTTCATTTATTTTTTAGTAAGAAATATAGCTTTTGTTGTTTTCCTCGATGAAGGGAGTATAAATTAGTAAATTATTGTTGTTTTTATTTACTGTATAAGATGTTTTTTTTTTTTTTTTTTACTATTTTAAATCAAAATCAGCTCTATTCATTTTGTATAATTTTTAATAAAAATATATTATTTTTATTACAAAATATAATATTTAATATACTATTTAAACAAAAATTTTAATTCAATAATTTATTTTAAATTAATTTTAAATTACAACTAAACAAACTCTGAATGACACAAAATTGGATATTTAGGTGTCATTGGTTTTTTTTAAAAAAAAATTTTAAATCTATAAATATATTGAAGTGATAATAAATTCCACTAGCATGATAATATTTATTTATTTATATTTTATATAAGGTTCATAATTGATCCATGTATATAAAATATTTTCTTTTGTAACAATTCAACACGTGACCTAATTGTGTTCAAGCCTTTTGGCAACTAGGGACTACTGTCCCCCAAAATATATTGTTATTATTATTATTTTTTTAAATAACATCTTTGGCCCCATTTCACAAATAAAATAAATATTTTAATAATTTATTTTATATAAGTGTGTTTGTTTTGGGTTTTGCATTTTGAGTTGAGATTTGAATAGTAAAAATTTTGAATTTAAATAGTTGTATGATCTGATATAAATAGATGTTGATGTGATGTTTTGAATGTAAAATTAATTTTTAGTATAATATAAAAAAATGAAAAATAAGTGTTTGATTTGATGTTTTTGGGGGAAAAAAATGGACTGAATAGTGGAAATGAAATCCAATCCCTCACAAACACATTATTTTTTTTTTTGTTATTATTATTGTTTAGAATATTTTTTAAATTGTGCTATTAAATATATACTGATTAAAAATACATACATAACAATACTAAAATATTCTTAAGAAAACAAGATAGCAAAATATCTAAAATAAATGTAATTGAATTGTTATTTAAAAAAATATTATTATTATTTATTTATTTATATGGAGACAGGGAATATGAAGGAACCTTTTGAAGTGGACATACAATAAATTATATTTGTCCCTTTGATATTTATCTGCCTTTTTTCAAATATATATATTATTTTTATTTTTATGATTATTATGCAACATATATAATTTAATATATGGTTTAGAAAGAGGAGAAATTCTGATCCAGTCAATATTATATATATACATATTACAGTTTGGGCCTGGCCCATTTAATATGAGCCTGTTACTGAATTCACATATCAGGCCCATTGGGCCGAATATTGTGAACCTTAAGGCATATCAATTATAGAAATATAATTATTTTAATTCATTACAATATGTTTAATTTGGTTGAGATTTTAAATAGCGGGATCGTTTTTAATATAAATATTAAATCAAAAATATTATTTAAATAAAAATTAAAGTTAATATTTTATTTCAAATTATATAATCAAACAACCTTATATTTGCATGATGGATTACACATAAATAATTTATTACTCCCTTCGTCCAATAACTATTGTCCGGGTTGTGTCCGGGTTGTGTTTGATAGAAAATTTAAAGAATTTTAATATTATATTAGTAGTGGGTAAAAAGTACAGGTAATTTTTTTTTACCCTAGTGAATGTATTAATGTAAAAAATAGTGTCAATTGTGTATTAATAATAAAAGAGAGAGTAAGGGTAGTTTTATAATTATATGATTATTTATGGAAATGAGACTATTGTTTTGGGACGGACAAAAATAATAAACAAGACTATTGTATTGGAACAGAGAAAAATATAATAATTATTTTATATAATTATATTTTCATTTTTTTTTCCTAAAATATTCTTGATAACTTTATTGTAAAATATTCCGTCCAGCTATCATGTCCATTTAGTGTAATATAATAAGGTTAGGAGATATTTAATAAATAATTAAAAATATATTAGTACAAATAATTATAGTTAACAATAAAAAAATTATATATTAAGATCAAATAATTAATTAGTTTAATTAAAATAAAAATAAATTATCTATTAATAAATTTAAAATAAAATTAAAATATATAATTTTTTTTTAAAAAAAATAACAAAATAAGTGGACCAACAAAAATATAAAAATCAATATGGTAAGTGAATTGAAGAGGGTATTTAGTTATGTATATCTATATTAAAATATCAAAATCATAACAAAGGAATTTTTATTTATTTATATTTCTACTATAAATTTAATAATAACTAAAAATCTATTTTAAAGTATTACATTTTTTTTTAAAAAATAATAATTATAGATGTTGTAAAATAATTTGTTGCTTCTTAATATATGTATATACCCTAAAAAGAAATCATTACTACTTCCTACCATTAATATCGCCATTATTTTAGCTACAATTTTAAATTTTCTACATATTAAAAGAAGTTTTATTATCTCTATATATATTCTATATATGTATATTATTGCCATATATTTTAATCCATTTCATATATTTTCTCTTATTCTTTTAGAAAAAGTTAAATATTTTAATTTTATTTTAAATTTATTAATTAACTATTTAATTATAGAGTCAATTGGGTCAAATTAACAAAGTGACTTGAGGCGGGCTCACTGAAATCCATCTGTCACATATGGTTTTTTTAATGTGATTTATTTTATCGAATTTAATTTGCGGAGTATTAGCTTCGGCCGATAATTTATCAAATGCGCACTTTCGGTAGCAACTTCAGATTTCTACGTTATATATATAAAAAAAGAGATACATTATATAATACTCTATTGTATTTTAGTAAAAATGCACAAAACACTTCGTGTTTTATTTATTGTGTGAAACCCCCTTGTGTTAATGTAAAATTTACACGAAACACCCTCTTTATCCAAAACTGATATTTAGTTCTAAATAAAGACATAATTTATGTAAATTTTATACAAATAAAAATTGTAAAATATGTTAAATAATTTTTTTAAATAAAATAAATAAATGAATAATTTATTAGTCATTCGTTATAATTTGAAAACAAATTGTTATGTGATTTTTAGAAAAAATATAAAAATAAATGATTGATCAATTATCTATTTATTTATTTTATTCAAAAAAAATTATCTGAAATATTTTATATTTTTTATTTGTATAAAATAAGTGTAATTTAGATCTTTATTTTGAACCAAACATAAATTTTGTACAAGTAGAATATTTCATTTAAATTTTACATTAATACAAAGAATATTTTTATGCATTTTTACTTTACACATAGTATAATATATATTTTTTTAAAAAAACAATACTTATTATTATTATTATTTTATAAATTTATTTATATATTGTTGACCATAAAAAATAAAAATAAATAGTGAGCAGTATCTTCTAATAATAATAATGAAATTAATTAGCAGAGTGTCTGTCTGTCTGTCTTGTTGGAAGAGTATCGACGCCACGACAGACAAACTATGACGTTAATATTCAATTTTCATTTTCTGCAGAGAAAGAGAGAGAGAAGAGAAGGTTTTGCTGCATTTACATGGTGGTTTGTCTGACCGTACGCCATGGCATCCGCCTATAAGCTCACCTCTGCAACAGTCAATCTCAAATTTTCACAATTTTCTATTATTATTATTATAGTTATGGATTAATTTATTTGGATTTTCTGTTTATAATATTCACACAATCGTCAACAACCATCAATGCTTCCAGATTTCTTCACCATAGCTCGCCTTCTTTGAGAGTTGACCTTAATCTCCCCTTAAATGCCCCAATTTCTACTCCTCCATCAATCCATTTCACTTCATTTTTCCAACTAAGCCAAATCCACCTTCGCGCTCAGGTATTTCTTCTTCTCGATAGATATTAACTTTAATTTGTTTTCCGATGCGGCGATGTGCGGAGAAATCTGCAAATCTTCCACTGTATATACACAGTCTCTAGGTCATTGATTTCGTAAATGATTGTTTATTTATTTATTTTTGTTTTGGATTTGTGGTGGTTGATTATCTGATTGTCAATTCTGTTGCTGTACCTATCTGGAGATCAAAAGCCTATTTGAGATGATTTTCTGGTTGGATACCCTAAATGCTGCGTAAATTAGGTTTGGTAATTTTGTTGGAAACCCTAGAATTTGGGGGTCATTGATGGCGATGGTGATTGTGCTCTGCCTCAAAATTTTGTGGTCCTTTTGATAATGAAAGTGCCTGTAAATATTATACTCTGTAGAATTCATTGTGATTATATTTGTTTATGTGAACAAGCAACACTGCTCTGCTTTGCTCCATTTTAGATAAAAGTTTCTTAGTTTTGGAAAATTTTGTTAAAGAAAGTTATTGTCGATGAACACAAGATAGGATTATTTTGTAGTATTTGATGTGATCTTTGAACTCTTGAATTGCATATATGGATTTTAAATTATTATTTATGTTGCGATTTGGATATTCATATTTTAAGAGTAATGCTCTGGTTTTGTATGTTATTCATCCATGATCATACAATCCACAATTTTCATGTTTTAAGAATCTCTAGAGAGAATTTTTCGACTCTGTTTAGAACATTACGATCAATACCTATTTACAAAACAAGTTTTTGTGAATGATGTTGTATTGTAATTTTGAATGATTCGATGATGTTCAAAGTTTTGGTTAGAAATCGATGCACAACTATAGGAAATCGCTAAGGTTGCACGAATACATAAATCCCTATCTTGCTTAGAAAAATATGTCGATCCATAGCTTCATTATTTTTTGCTATAAAATGGTTATCTTTGTAGATGATGAAAATCGATGTTTGTCCCGGATTTTTCTTGTTTTTGACTAAATTACGTAGAAAATCTTCTACTAGAGGGGGTGGGGGACACCACACACGGAAAAGGCTATGTTTTAGGATTATGTGTGTCTCAACTCTTACAATTTTTTGAAGTCTACAAGGATGCAATCTTAGATGTTCGTTTATTACCTTCACCCGAGATACGCATTGTGTGTCCTAACCAATTCTTCTGTAACAGATCCGACATCGAAGCTATGAGTACAATGGGGTCGAACGGATTCGAATCAAATGGCTGCGAAAATTCCTTAACACCAGAACAACAGCAAGCTAAGGTATATATATACATATATATATGTATCTATAGAGTTGTTCATACCTTGTTCAAATTTATGTTCCAGATTGACGAGGTAAGAAAATCGATCGGCCCCCAGTCCGGAAAACTGGCCCTTTATTGTACGGACAGTTCCATCTTGAGATACTTAAGGGCACGAAATTGGAACGTCAAGAAAGCCGTCAAAATGCTCAAAGCATCTCTAAAATGGAGACTCGAGTACAAGCCGGACGAGATTCGTTGGGTAAGTCTCATTACAATTTTCGACCAGGACAAGCCGTAGCTCCGTATTCTCTCGTTACGTAGATTGTAATAATTTAGGATGACGTCGCTGCGGAGGCAGAGACGGGGAAGATTTACCGATCGAGTTACAAAGACAAGCATGGGAGGCCCGTTCTCGTCATGCGGCCTCGATGTCAGGTTAATTATATTCGAATTTTTTTTCTTTTAAAAATTTTCGACATTTTTGTTAAAGAATCGATTTTTGCAGAACTCCAAGTCGATAACGGGGCAGATGAAGTATCTCGTGTATTGCATGGAGAACGCGATCGTAAATCTCTCCGACGGAGAAGAACAAATGGTGTGGCTGATCGATTTTCACGGTTTTAATATGTCGCACATTTCGATCAAAGTGACGCGCGAGACAGCGCACGTCCTGCAAGATCGTTACCCCGAGAGGCTCGGCCTCGCGATCCTATACGATCCGCCGAAGATATTCGAGCCGTTTTGGATGGTAAAGTTTCGATCATTTTCGGCGATCTTTTGGGTTTTCACGAGATGAAAAACGATAATTTAGACGATGATTGCAGATTGCGAAGCCGTTTTTGGAGCCCAAAACGGCTAACAAAGTGAAGTTTGTTTACGCCGACGATCCTAACTCGAGCAAGATTATGGAGAAAATTTTCGATATGGAATTAGTCGAATCTGCGTTCGGCGGGAAAGACGCCGCGGAGTTCGATATCGTAAAGTATGCGGAGAGGATGCGGGAGGAGGATAAGAAGGTCGAGTTGTTGTGGAATGCTGGTGGTTCGATGCCGCCGGTTTCTTCGATCGGCTTAGAATCTGCAAAATCGGCTTCGTCGGAGTCGGACGATGAACCGGGTGCGGTGACGACGGAAAAGCAGTTGTCTCACGGCGGCGATGGCGGCGCCGGCGGCGGAGTAGCTGAGGAAGTTCAATGTTGACGAATGGGTGATAACTTTGATTGAAGAGTATGCTGTTCGAATTAATGATTGACTAATGGTTTATTTATATATATATATATATACTGTCTTCCCTAACTATGAAAGACTTTCTCTCTCATGATTTTAAGACAGGACAGAATCTATGGGAACAGTTTCGGTTTCGGGGAAGTTAAGGTTGTGAATTTTGTGACAATATGGGCAATTGGGGTTGTGTTATTTTCGATTTTACGTGAAAATATTACTTGCTTGGCTCCCCATTATTTTTTTTTTTCTTTTAATTTCTCTGTTAAATTTAATATATTACTATTAATTTATGTTTTATGTAACACTTCATTACTTTTATTATATATTATTATCGTTATTAATTACTAACTAAATTTTAAAAAATATCTATCCCTTTACTTTTTATTATATTTAGTAAAATATTAATTTTATTTCGCAAGGACCTAAATAGGTTATTTTTATCCAATGCAAAGAGTATAAAATTATTTAATTTAAGTATTTCATAAGAAAAGATTAAAAGAAAAAAGACGTACAATGCATTATAAATGATACATTTATTCTATTCCACCTTTTAAAAGAAAATAATTTAAATAGTCCGGTAAAAAATAACTTAGCAGTAAACTGGTGACCGTAAACTATGAGTTCAAACTTTAGGTACCAAAAGAGAGAAGAATCATTGCAATTTGCAAACAATAAAATAGTATATGCAATAGCTACTTTATTTTAAAAATAAATAATAAAATTCAAAACACTTAAAAAAAAAAAAAAAGTACAAACAAAAACTTGAGTGTATAAGCATTACAAACTACAAAAAAAAAAAAAAAAAAAAAAACACTTCTTATTTATTGTAAATGGTTACAAAACTTCATAATAATACAACAACACAGTAAAAAATCTTTTTCTGTTTCTACCAGAAACATAAAAAACACTAAAATAAACATTCAAACACAAATGCAGAGAAGAATTCTTCTCTCTCAACAAGAAGTAGCACAGAAGATTTGAGGAAATACTCACTCAATAAGAAGCCATAAAACATCAGGATTGCACCTTATCATCCAGCTTCTGCCTGTAATGTGCCAAGCTCTGCATCGTCGTTGTCGACGAGTCACGCCAACAAAATAAGTTCAGTAAAAAATTACTCATCTCGTCGCGAATATTCAGATAAATCACAGTTTTTAGCCCCTCAAATAAGATATGTCTCTTTCGATGCAAAACAGAAGTAACTAATGTCGAAAAAAAACTCAATCTTTGAATCGTAAAAGTGCCAAAAAGATCATTTAACACATTAACTATACGAGGAACGGAGTCGGGGATATATATATGTATACCTTGGTGTATGCATAAACGCCCGGTTCTTCGGGTGCGACGGGACTACCTCTACGGATGAAGCTTCCATCTTTAACAATGTAAAGCATCGGTACGCCGGTAGATAGCTCCAAGCTAATAACCTGAAAAAGGATACATTAAAGTCACAACTTTTCGATATTTCTATTTCATTCAGAAAAATGAGAATTAATCGATTCTTTCGAAGTTTCCCACCTCTTGAGAAGTCAGGTTGTCTAGATACATAATAATGGACCTTAGCGAGTTCCCATGGGCGGCGATCAATACATTTTTACCGGACTCGAGCTGCGGAACAATCTGTTGCATCACAAAATTGGCGTCACAAAACCTCTCGACTAAGCAGATAGTTACAAATGAATGAAAATTTTTGTTATTCTTACAGATTGTTTGAAGTAGGCGACAGCTCTCTCGGCGCACATTTCCAAACTCTCGCCGCTCGGCGGAGGTATGTCGTAACTGCGCCGCCATTCGTGCACTTGCTCTTTCCCGTATCTCTCGGCTGTTTCCTGCTTGTTAAGGCCCTGTAATTCTCCGTACCTATACGCCATAGGATAAAATTAACAAATTATAGTGTCCCCAAGATGTGATTTTAAATATTCCCTGAGCAAATACTCACATTCGTTCGTTTAGCTGCCACGCTGTTATTACTGGGATGCATTGCTTTTTAGTCTCCTCGCTGAAAATTCGACTCCACGTACTCGCTTGCTCGTTTTCAGTGTGCACTATGATTGGAACCTGCGGATTTAACCTTAATTGTAGGATGCATTCAAGGCCGTAAAAAAACTCAAATTTGTGTTCTTTTGTGAGTTTTACCTCTTGTTTTTCCTAGTCAGACTCTTCTTTCCCTAAAAAAATATCAAACTAAACAATTATTTTTTCTTTTTTTATATTATACTCCCTCCGTCTCATAACAAACTATCTATTTTCTTATTTTGGTTTGTCCCATAACAAAGTATTCATTACTGTACTATCTACTTAACATTACAAATACCTTTATAACTTACAAAATATTACACAAATATCATTATCTTTGTATCACACAGTACTAATAAGGCTATTTTAATCATTTCTACTTTATTTCTACTACATATCAATATAATACTAATATACTTAAACTCCATGCAAAAAGCAAATGGATACTTATTTAAGGGACGGAGGGAGTATTATAAATCTATTTTACATTCAAAATATCACATCCAACTTCTCTTTATATCATATGAAACAACTATTCAAATTTAACTTTTTACTATTCAAAAATCCAAATCCACAAACAAACACACCCTATATAAAATTGTACCTTCTGGCGACGGTGTTGAGTCATGGCAAGCATGGCAGTCATCTGAGCACGGATTAAAGATGAGGTATATATCACGTCGATAGGTATGTTGCTGATCTTTTTCCCGGCCTGGACAGCTTCTTCGACGCCTTTCTTAGTCAGAGGCACGTCGACGCACCCTGTGAACAAGTTCTTCTCATTCCACAGTGATTCGCCGTGCCTGATCAATATCAACGCAGCTTCATCTGGCAAAAAGCACATAAAACAAACGGCGGATTTTAAGATGAGAAACTGAGTCATTGCCTGTACAAATTTATAGATCAGTTTGAAAACATTACTCGATTTTTTCTTGGATTCAACAGCCTTGCCATTCGATGGCGATAAAACTGCAGTTTGAAAATCCGAGGCTTGAGTTACGGTAAGATTTGTCTTTCTTGAGCGACCGGTCCTGCCTTTCGAAAGTGGGAAATCTCGATTTACGCCCTTTGAGATAGACCGATATGAAGCGATTCCGTTGTCCTGGTTCAGGGCAGAGTTACTGTATCGAAAACTCCCGATTGCTTGATGTAATGCAGCAGCAGCAGCAGCCATTCTGATCTGAAGCAATACTGTGAATTATTTACATGTTTAGATATTGATTACACAAATTCTAAATCAGTTCATCCTTTTCTGTCTCAAATCAACTGTTTGAATTCTAATTATTTCCCCAATGTGTAGGCAAAATAGTAAAATTGTAGGTTGCAATGATGCACAATCATTCATAACTCCCTAATGTTCATTGCATTACAGCGACGCACCAACGAACTAAAACCCCTAAATTGACAATCCTAAAAGCTGTGTCTCAACAACAAATTGATTGTGAAATCAAACAATTGGGGAAAATAATAACAATCTAGATAAATTTCAACACAGGTTTTTGACTAACAATCAAATTCCCAAATCTGGAACCCTAAGAACGAACAGAATCTGAAATTACTCGGATGTGCACAACGAAAACCAAAATTAAGAACAAATTATTCAACCGAAATGCAAAAGAACAAACAAATCTGTTCGAAAAACTTACGTAAACTCCGAGGAGCGGCGAGGAAATACTCGGCGAGAAATACAGCCTTCGATTGTGGAGGATATCGATCAACAGACGGAAGGAAAGAGATCTCGATTGCAGATATAAATAATAAGGAATCGAGAACCAAAAGGAAGCAGTTCGATAAAACCGATGCGAGGGTTTAATCCACGGTGAAAAAGAGGGCGCTGCATTAACTCCTCAGAAACCAATAACGACGATTCTCGAACGCCAACAACCAGGTGGAGGACGCTGAAGCAAATGCGAATCTGCGGAATGAGACAATGGACTGAAATACCGAGGAAATTGAGGGAGGGGGGAGAGGTGTGCCCTACCTGGTAGGGTTGGTGAATTTGGGGGGAAAAGGACGCTTCCTTCCTGCGAGACGGTAGTTGGGCGGCGATTTGAGGCAGCAAAAGGACAGCTAACACAAAAAGGTCATGATTGATGGAAGGTCGATTGCTACGGCCGCCGTGTGTCGGCTCGATTGCGATGGCTGATGATGTTGATTGGACTTTGGGTTTGGCATTTCCGTCAAGGATTCCATTTTCATGCCCGACTTGAATTGGATGTACAGGCGACCGAGTTGCTAAGGGCCTGTTTGGTTGCCTTTCCAGTTTCTATTGGCAGTATGTCTTCTAGACTTTTTTTATTTTTCAAAATGTTATTCCTTCCTTTTTCTAATTTTGTGCTCAATTATTATTATTTTTTTTTAGCGAGTTTCAATGCATGAATTTTGATTATATATATTTTTCACATTTATTTTTGCTATCATCATATTTTTAACATTAAAAATATTTTTATATTTATATATATATATTTTTTTTGTAAAATGTCATTCTAATACTAATTGAAGTATTTTTGAATTTCTTTTCAATTTGTACTTATAATAATTAATTCAGTCAGAATTGTCTATTATTTTAGTCCACTTTGCTATACTGGTTGTGAAAATGAATTTCAGAATGTAAGAGATCTTTTAGTAATAAGGTTGTGAATGAAGATTGAAGACCCTATATTTGTATGATAAAATATAGTTAATTATTTTTTATATTAAAAATATTGCAAAAATATACCAAAATAGAAATTATTATAGAATATTAAATGATCTTAAATAAAAAACCACACATTTTTCGTTTATTTGTTTTTTATTTGAAATTTGTTAAATGATCTGAATTTTGTTGAGAAAGCATCATTAATCTATTTATTCGAATGATATAATATAATATAATCTAAACCACTGTCACAACTAAAAATTTAATTTCGTAAATATATGTATTATTAATTTTTTAACTATATGATATTTTAACATAATATTTTATAAAAATAATAATATATTTTTGGTAAAAAGGTATACGAATTTAATAATAATAATAATTTGGATTTGAAATTAAAATAAAAAAATAATAATCAAATATCAACATTAAATCGTGGTCAAATTATTACAATTCAATAAGTTGTCACAATTTCGTTGTTATAATAAATAATTTTCTTTTTATGAAAAATGCCGATGTGTTCTTTTTTAATTTAGTTATTATTATTATTATTTGAATGGTTGTTTAAATGTTATATTTTATTTATAAAAATATTACTTTCATACAAAATTAATAATAGTAAGAAAAATAATACTTCATTAAAATCAAGATTAAAAAAAACACTATATCCTAATTTTTTATTATTATTTTTTTTTAATATGCGTAATTATTAATTTTTTCCCCTCTACTCTTTTGAAGAAAAGATTGAAAGCATATCCATTAGTATATACTAACACCGCAAAGAAAATAGTTGTATGGAAAATGTTGACTTTCTAAAATAAGCACCTCACTTTCCTCAGCAGTTGGGGTTGACCACATGCCGTATTGACTCCAACTACCCTCTCAACACATATATCGCACGTGTTTGTTTGTTGTTTCTTTTTTTTTTTTTTAATATAATACTTAAGGGTGTGTTTGTTTGGGGGATTGGACACTATTCATCCCATTTTTTTTCCCCCCAAAAATATCAAATCAAACACTTATTTTTTATTTTTTATATTATACTAAAAATCATTTTTACATTCAAAACATCATATCAACACTTATTTATATCACATCATACCACTATTCAAATTCAAAATTTTTATTATTCAAATCCCAACTTAAAATCCAAACCCCAAAATTAAATATAGCTACGAAAATACAAATTAGATAGGATGCGAAATTAAATCTGAGCCTCAGGTTGCGTCCGATTTTCTTGAAGTAAATTCGACCCTCCACTGATTGCCTCCTAAGATAGAACAAATCAAAACGGAATACCAGATAAAACTTTTGAAAGAAAATTTACAAAAGAACTTTCTCACAATTTAGAAGGAAGAATTTTTCCTTATATAAAAAAGAAGGAAAATAATATATATTATATTTTTTCAGATTATTTTATATTTAATTACGTGTAGAGGAAAAAATTGTCTACTTTTGCACGTTGTATTCGGTTGGAACAAACTATTTTATTTGATTATTTATTTATTTATTTATTTTTGAAAATCAAAATAAATTAATCAAATAAAATATGAGACAAATAATTTATTTATCTTTCACCTATATAATTAAATACCCAACATTTTTATCATCAAAAATAATTTATGGGTTTTGTTAGCCCAGGACCTTATTACAAGTGTCTTAGTTGATGTTAGCCGATATCCAAATCTTACATAATAAAAAAGGATTGTGTCGTCCAGTAATATGATCTGATAATACGAGGATGAACTCATAATTGCGAGACTATGTGTTCAAATTCCTACGTCTTTAAGTTTTGTTTATCACACATAATTCACTTAATATAACACTTTTAGATTTTACTAAAAATTTATTCAAAATGACTGCAGATTCTCATGTTATAAAAAAATAAAAAAATAGTGTTCGTGTGAGTCTAAAAATAGGACTTGGGCATGGACTACTAAGCCTACGCTTAGGCCCAAAATTTTAGGCCTCTTTAGAGTGTATTTTTTTTTTTAAAAAAAAGTATATATTTACATATACACTAAAATTTATAAATATATGTATAATATAAAAATTCATATTAAATTCTTTTATTTAAATATATTTTAATATGATATTTTATAAATAAATAAATACTCCATCGAAAGGAGTTCTTTGAATTTTGTAATAAATTAAAAATTATATTATATTAATTGTATAATTAATATTATAAATAAATATAATTCTTTTTAAAAATATTTAGAATTCAACACCCAATCCGCAACCATCTATTTAAATATTTCCCATTCGTCATACTTTAAAAGTATTTATTTTATTTTATTTTTTATTTTAAAAAAAGTAATTATACACTAATAGTAAAATATCAATACAAACATAAAATTATTTCATACGTAAAGTCAAAGGGTAAAAATTCTACTGACTAATAAAATTCTATTCCCTCTGTCCGCCGGTTATATTTACTTTTGCGTCATTGTTCTTAACATTAAAAAGATTTTTTGTATAATTTTTTTTACAAATATCCTTCTATTAATATTATAAATATTTTTATATATTTTTTTTAAAAATTATTACATTTTAATATTCAAATATTAATACGTAAAAAGTAAATGAGACAAAACTGGAACGAAGGGTGTAAATTAATAAATAAAGCAATTTGTAAATTTATTTTCGTTTATTTATTTTGATGGTAATTAGGTGACAAATGCTTTGCTGGAGAATTCGGGGTAGTCCAAAGGGGGTTGGTGAAGATTGATCACAACCGTTCATTTTGCTCAGAGCTAAGAAAAACTAAAATAAAATAAAATTTAAAAGGTGTTAATTTGATACTTTATCGTTATAATTAAACGCACCATTTTTATTATTCTTGTCTGTAATATTTAATTGTATTATTTTTTATTATACTTTATTCGTCCAATAATAATAAAATTATTTTTTTATTTTTGTCCGTTTTAGAACAACGATATTATTTTTTAATTTAATAATTGTAGTACTTATCTAACATAATAAATATTATTATAATTTACAATTTATTATATAAATATTGTTACTTTTATATTATACAATACTAACAAGAGTATTTTTTATTTTTATTTACTACAAACCAATATAACACTAATATTAAAAAATCTACGCAAAAAAACAAATAATACTCTTTATACGGGACATAGATGGTAATAAAAATAACTAAACATAAAAACTTTTAATTTTTATATAAATTATAAATATATCATTCTCCGTATATTTGTATCATATCTTTTAACCTATTTAGAAAATTATTAAACAGAGTAAATATATTTAAAAATAATATTTTACTAAAAATGTGAGAAAAAATAATTGTCTATATATTTTGTAAAGTTTAGTTACTAATTAATAAAATAAAAAAATATTATAAAAATAATGAGAATTATAGTAATAAATATTGAACAAAAATTAATAATTAAATATTATTTTTTTTTAATTTTTATTAAAATAAATAATAAAATTAAGCGGTTGATTTGTATTTAGAAGTCCTGCTAATTAAATATAAATTACATGTTATTTTTATTTATATGATAAAAATTGTGTAAATATTCTAAATTATTTACAAAGCAACGATTGAATACTTGTATTTATGTTTTGCAAAATATACATGAACGATGTGCAATTTGTATGTATATGATATTAATAATTTTATACGTACTTATCGAATATAAAATACTCTCTCCGTTCAAGCAATAAGTATACATTTACTTTTGACGCGGAATTTAAAAAATAATACTCTCTCCGTCCCAGATATGGTGTCTGCTACACTGTAAACACTTTATTTTAGGAGGGGTGTAATTAGTAGATAATTAAGAATGTATTAGTCAAAATAATTATTCTATAATATAAATAATTATAAATTAAGATTAAGATAACTAATTAGTTTAATTAAAATTAAAAAAAAATAAAATTAAAAAATTTAAAATGAGATTAAAGTGTATAATCATTTTCAAAAAAGGAAAGTGACATGGTACGTGGGATGGACAAAAACGGCAACATGGACATGGTATCTGGGACGGAGGGAGTAGTATTTTAATTATAATGGTAGGTAAAAGTAGTGTAATGATATTTTTGTCCTTACTTTTTTGATATAAGAGTAATGATGTGATGTAAAGTAAAGATATTTGTAAAAAAAATGAGGGTATTTAATGAAATGGTTACTTTGTAATTGAACGTTCTAAAATAAAAATATGTATACTTTGTAGCTAGATGGATGGAGGATGCGTTCACCGATATATATATATATAATATTATATTGATTATACGTGTCTTTAAGTGGAGTTTTCATATATTAAAAAAATCATAAAAATATTGATATAAATATACTTGAATATTAATTTCAAAATTTGAAGGAATGATTAAAATAATTAAATATTTATTATGATACATTTTCTAAAATTATATTAATAAATAATATCAAAAATTAATATATATAATATAAAGCGAGCTTAATAAATTAAAAGTGCAGGAAAGCTGTCGAATAGATCTCGTCAACGGTCTAACTTTTGGCCCATAAATCGATCAAAAAATATTTATTTACGAATGTGACGTTCAATTCCAAAAAATCAATATTGATTTTTATATACTATTTAATATTATCTCTAGGTTTGTAGTAGTACAAAAATAAGATAGCCTTTCGGGTTGTGTTTCTAAACGAACTGAGCCGTTCGTAAACTTGGCTTGGTTCGGTTCGATTCGACTTGATTAAAGTTGAGCTGTTAAACGAATTGAGCCGTTCGTGAACTTGGCTCGGTTTGGTTCGATTCGACTCAATTAAAGTTCGTTCGCGAACGTTCGTTTAAATATAATATTAATTTAAAATATATAAATAAAATAATTTTTAATTTTTTTTTTATAATTTATATATAAATTTTAAAAAATAAGACAAACGAGCTCGAACGAGCTTAATCAAGTCTAAACGAGCTAAACACGAACACGAGCTTAAACAACAAAAATTCTTAACGAGCCGAGCTCGAACACTACGAACGAGTTCGAAAGCTTAACGAACGAGCCCGAGCCTTGTTCGCGAACGTTTAACGAACACTTAAAATTTGGCTCGGCTCGGCTCGGCTCGGCTTTGATCGTTAACTGCTCTAGTTGTGTTTCATTATTGCCGTTTTTATTTTTGTTTTTTTTTTTTTATACTTCATCCGTCCCATAAATATAGTCTTAATTGGATTGAGCACGAGATATAAAAAATACTGATATTATATTGGTAGTTGGTAAAAAGTATGGATAAAAAACTTTTTTGTCCTTGTGAGTGTATTAATATAAAAAATAGTAGCAATTGTGTAATTAAAATGAAAAAATAGGGGTGGTTTTACGGTGATATGGTTATTTATGGAAATAAGACTATTATTTTGGAACGGATAAAAATGATAAACAAGACTATTGTATTGGTATAAATATACTACTCCCTCCGTGCCAATACAATAGTCTTATTTACCATTTTTGTCCGTCCCAAAACAATAGTCTTATTTCCATAAATAATCATATCACTATAAAATTATTCTTTTTTTTTCATTATTATTACACAATTACCACTACTTTTTACACTAATACACTCACAAAAGGCAAAAAAATCTTTTACACGTAATTTTTATATTTAAAATAGTTATATTTAATTGTTATTTAAATTAAAACTAAAAAAGGCAACCCAAAAGAACAAAATTGTTTTTTTAGAATAGATCATATGCTGATATGCGCATAGCACCTCTTCTGTTTTTTTTTTTTTTTTTTTTTTTTTTTTTTTTTTTTTAGGGTTTGTTATGTTGGATACTATTTATTTTGTATAAATTTCAATAAAAGATATTATTATTTTTATATAAAATAGCATTTAAACAAATAATATTTTATTTCAAATCAATTTTAAATAAAGGCTAAACAAACTTTTAATATGTTTTACAAAAATATCAAAAAAATATTATTCCAAATAAACGTCATATTGTAGTTCTATGTAATAAAATTTTTTCCTATATTCTCCAATATCAAATTACAATAAATCGTGGAAGAGACTGAACAGTGAACACACTTGCTCTCTTTCTCTCTAAATATATATATATATATATATATAAACTTTTACTTTTTTTTTATTTTATTTAACTCACTTAAAGTATTTATTTTTTATTTTGAAAAAAATAATTATACACTAACACCAAAATACCCTTAATTTTTACTTAAATTATAAATATATTTTTACACATAAATGACAAAAATATCAAAAACTCACGAATGTGTTCGTTTGTGGGTTTGGATTTTTGAATTTGAATTTTTAAATAGTAAATAATTTATATTAATTTGATATTTTGAATGTAGAAAAGATTTATAGTAATATAATATATAAAAAAGAAAAAATTAATTGTTTAGTACGATATTTTTTAAAGAAAAAAAATTAAAATTAAAACCCTGAAAAAAAAAAAAGAAAAAAAAAAAAGAACACAACTTTATAACTTTCTGAGTGAGTGAGTGAGTGGATATTCTAAGTGTCCACAGCCATCATCATATTTATATATATATGTTGGGATATGAAGCCTGATTATATCCTAAAATCTAGGGATATGATTTGGATATTATATTTTAGATTTTAGAGATATGATTTGGATATTATTGTCAAAGGCTTAGGCTATAAATATCCATGTATTCTCACTTTAACATGTGCCTGCGTACTTGATAGTAAAATTCCTGGCTTGGCAGCGCCCCCAGACGTAGATCATCGTGATCGAACTGGGTTACCAAATTCTTGTGTTCTTTTGTCCTTGTTGTTTCATCTTGATTTCCTGAAATTTTCATAACAAGTGGTATCAGAGCCTAGTTCGTTGATAGGGTGGATTGAGAGGAATCGGACGTTGGATCGTTGTGGGAATCCCTTGTGACCTGCGGAGGTGCCTTGTGTCGAAAGTCTCCTGGCGGTGTTGGGTCGGTCCCGACTGGTAGGTCAGGCAGCGAGTCCCTTTGTGATAGGCGGTGCAAGGTTGGTAGGGAAGGATAAGGGTTTCGGCAAACGCAGCGGAATATCCGATGTGCTCTCATATCAAGTGAACCTTAGGTTTGTTTGTGGGAGTCAAGATGGGTGATCGTCATGTTGTCAAGGTATTCGATGGTATGAACTTCGGTTTCTAAAATATGCATATAGAAGATTACATGAATGGTAAAGATCTAGATGCGGTATTGAAGGAGAAATCCGAAGACATGGATGAAGCCGAATACAAGAAGATCAACAGGAAGACGATGAGTGCGGTTCGACTAACCCTTTGGGAGAATGTCTCGACTGAATTTAGATTTGAGGCAAAAGGAAAGGGTGAAGATCAAGAATGGTCAAAGTTGAAGCCGAAGAATAAGGACAAGGAAGATGCAAGTCAGGTGGTATATTGGAACTGCAAGGGGCACTTGAAACGACAGTGCAGGGCGCCGGAGAAGGATCAGGGTTCAGCAAACGCAACGGAGGAGATATCCGATGCGCTGATTCTGAGCGTCAGCAGTCCAATGGAGTCATGGATTTTGGTCGAACGTCATTCCACTCATGCAGTGATTCGAGAATCATGGAATCCTATACCACAGGTAATTTTGGTGTTGTCTATCTTGGAGATGATGAGACACTGAAAATTGTAGGTAAAAGAATGATTCGAATCAGAACACCGAATTGTGGGGAGTGGAGATTGGATGAGGTATGTTGAAGTGGAAGATGAAATCAGTCTTCAAGTGGGAGATTGTTGGGATATGAAGCCTGATTATATCCTAAAATCTAGGGATATGATTTGGATATTATATTTTAGATTTTAGAGATATGATTTGGATATTATTGTCAAAGGCTTAGGCTATAAATATCCATGTATTCTCACTTTAACATGTGCCTGCGTACTTTATAGTAAAATTCCTGGCTTGGCAGCGCCCCCAGACGTAGATCTTTGTGATCGAACTGGGTTACCAAATTCTTGTGTTCTTTGTCTTTGTTTTCTCATCTTGATTTCCTGAAATTTTCATAACAAGTGGTATCAGAGAATTGTTGGGATATGAAGCCTGATTATATCCTAAAATCTAGGGATATGATTTGGATATTATATTTTAGATTTTAGAGATATGATTTGGATATTATTGTCAAAGGCTTAGGCTATAAATATCCATGTATTCTCACTTTAACATGTGCCTGCGTACTTTATAGTAAAATTCCTGGCTTGGCAGCGCCCCCAGACGTAGATCTTTGTGATCGAACTGGGTTACCAAATTCTTGTGTTCTTTGTCTTTGTTTTCTCATCTTGATTTCCTGAAATTTTCATAACAAGTGGTATCAGAGCCTAGTTCGTTGATAGGGTGGATTGAGAGGAATCGGACGTTGGATCGTTGTGGGAATCCCTTGTGACCTGCGGAGGTGCCTTGTGTCGAAAGTCTCCTGGCGGTGTTGGGTCGGTCCCGACTGGTAGGTCAGGCAGCGAGTCCCTTTGTGATAGGCGGTGCAAGGTTGGTAGGGAAGGATAAGGGTTTCGGCAAACGCAGCGGAATATCCGATGTGCTCTCATATCAAGTGAACCTTAGGTTTGTTTGTGGGAGTCAAGATGGGTGATCGTCATGTTGTCAAGGTATTCGATGGTATGAACTTCGGTTTCTAAAATATGCATCTAGAAGATTACATGAATGGTAAAGATCTAGATGCGGTAGTGAAGGAGAAATCCGAAGACATGGATGAAGCCGAATACAAGAAGATCAACAGGAAGACGATGAGTGCGGTTCGACTAACCCTTTGGGAGAATGTCTCGACTGAATTTAGATTTGAGGCAAAAGGAAAGGGTGAAGATCAAGAATGGTCAAAGTTGAAGCCGAAGAATAAGGACAAGGAAGATGCAAGTCAGGTGGTATATTGGAACTGCAAGGGGCACTTGAAACGACAGTGCAGGGCGCCGGAGAAGGATCAGGGTTCAGCAAACGCAACGGAGGAGATATCCGATGCGCTGATTCTGAGCGTCAGCAGTCCAATGGAGTCATGGATTTTGGTCGAACGTCATTCCACTCATGCAGTGATTCGAGAATCATGGAATCCTATACCACAGGTAATTTTGGTGTTGTCTATCTTGGAGATGATGAGACACTGAAAATTGTAGGTAAAGGAATGATTCGAATCAGAACACCGAATTGTGGGGAGTGGAGATTGGATGAGGTATGTTGAAGTGGAAGATGAAATCAGTCTTCAAGTGGGAGATTGTTGGGATATGAAGCCTGATTATATCCTAAAATTTAGGGATATGATTTGGATATTATATTTTAGATTTTAGAGATATGATTTGGATATTATTGTCAAAGGCTTAGGCTATAAATATCCATGTATTCTCACTTTAACATGTGCCTGCGTACTTGATAGTAAAATTCCTGGCTTGGCAGCGCCCCCAGACGTAGATCATCGTGATCGAACTGGGTTACCAAATTCTTGTGTTCTTTTGTCCTTGTTGTTTCATCTTGATTTCCTGAAATTTTCATAACAATATATATATATATATATATATATCAGTGGCATAACAAACAAACCATCTTCAAAATGGGCATTAACATTAACATTAATAAATCAGTACCAGTGTTGTTGTTGATGATACTATCCTTCTGTAGCAGCAGCAGCAGCAGTTTCTCCAATTTTGCAGCAGCAGCAGGAACAAGAACAAGAAGATCTGCAGGTGATCACGACGACGATGATGATGTTCCTAATATTCAGGTTCGTGCAGTGAGCCTGGGAGGGTGGCTGGTGACTGAGGGATGGATCAAACCCTCCCTCTTCGACTCCATCCCCATCAACAAGGATTTCTTGGATGGCACACAGCTCCATTTCAAGGTCTTCAAAAGCAACAAGTATGTATCTGCAGAGCTGGGTGGAGGCTCCATTCTCGTCGCCAATCGGACACTGCCCTCTTCCTGGGAGACCTTCACTGTCAGTAATCAATTAATTATTCATCTATATATGTATAATCTCAATTCTCAACTTACGACTGCAGCTATGGAGGGTGAACCAGACGAGCTTCAATTTGAGGGTTTTCAACCGCCAGTTTGTGGGCCTCGCCGGAGATGGCGTCGCCGTCGCCGCCGTAGATGTCTCCCCCGGGGAATCGTCCACCTTTCGGATTGAGACAAACCCTACTTACCCCCATCGTGTTCGAATCAGAGCCCCCAATGGATTCTTCCTCCAAGTAAATTATATTTAATTTATTAATTGCATTATCTATATATATCTATATATGTCTTCGTTTGTCTTTTTTAATAAAGTCTTGAAGAGCAATGAATTAATTACAAGGCAGCAAGTGGTCCTGCCCTGTCGTGGCTCTATCTCTTTCTTTCAACTTTAAGAACAAATTCCATTTTTACATACGCACATGTCCTAAAGCCCTCTTCAATTCTTTGCTTTCTTCCATATTCTAAAGAAAAAACTTTTTATTTCTTTATTTCTTTTTTTAAAAAAACGTAATAGTATTAAAAAAAAAAGGTTAGTTAATTCAAACTCGCTAAACGATACAAGAGGTTTCTTTTCAATTTGAAAATTAAGAATTTTCTTTTTTAAATTTAAATATTATATTGATTGATAATAAACATAAACTAAAGTTAATAAAGTTAGAGAATTTTTTGATCGAATATATAAATAATTGTAACATAATATCGAAGAATATAATTAAAGAGTGTGCAAGAATCATATATAATAAATAGAAAATGTATATATATATATTTTAGATTAAATGAACATCGAAGAATAAACACCCTCACAATGTTCGTACAATTAGGTGAAATCCGAGCTAACTGTGACGGCGGACTACAAAGGCGACGGCGATTGGGGCGACGACAACCCGTCCGTTTTCGAGGTTACGATAAAAAACAAAATGCAAGGAGAATATCAAGTCACCAACGGCTATGGCCCTGTCTTGGCACCCCTAGTCATGAACCACCATTGGCGAACATTCGTAGTCGAAGATGACTTCAAGTTCATAAAAAAAAGTGGCCTTAACGCCGTAAGGATTCCCGTCGGGTGGTGGATCGCGCACGACCCTTTTCCACCCAAGCCATACGTCGCCGGCTCCCTACAAGCGCTCGACCGTGCCTTTGCATGGGCAGAGTTAGCATCGACCCTACACGAATTGAATTACGTATACAATTTATTGAATTGGTCGATTGTGACATGTTTTAATGTTTAAATTTACAGGAAATATCGAATTAAGGTGATCGTAGATCTGCACGCGGCGCCTGGCTCGCAAAACGGATGGGAGCACAGCGCGTCACGTGATGGATCCCAAGAATGGGGACAGCACGACACCGACATCCAAGAAACCGTCGGTGTTATAGAATTTCTCGCCGCACGGTGTGCAATTGTCGAGTATCTAGTTTAAAAATCGAGTCTTTTTTAGGGAGAAATTGCAAAAAATATCTCTCATGTATACTTAATTATTACTTTTATCTTATATTTATCTTTCTGGTAAAATATATTCCACGTGTTTACAAAAATCGTTATTTTTATACTTTAGTCGCGTGTAGCTGCACGTGACCGCGCGTGGGGTGAATGTCACGCGCGGCCAAAGGACAGAAATAACAACTTTTGCAAACATGTAGGATATATTTTGCTAGAGAGATAAATACATGACAAAAGTGATAATGGTGTATACATGAGAGATATTTTCTGCAATTTTCTCCCATTTTAGGGTTCGATTTAATCGGTTTAAAGTTTTTTATTATCGATATAGGTATGCGAAAAGCCTGAGTTTATTTGCGGTGGAGTTATTGAACGAGCCTCTTGCGCCGGGGGTTTCTTTGGATGTTTTAACCAAGTATTACAAAGCCGGATACGATGCCGTCAGGAAGCACTCGGCGACGGCCTATGTTGTCATGTGCTATAGATTAGGATCGAGCGATGCACGGGAGCTATTTCCACTGGCAAGTGGACTAAAAAGATCGGTATTGGACGTGCATTACTACAACCTCTTCACGAGCGCATTCGATGCCCTGACCGCGCAACAAAACATCGACTATGTTTACAACAACCGGACAACGCAACTCAACCACATCACAGCGGCGAACGGCCCTCTCATTTTTATAGGTATGCATCCTCAACATTCAATCACCAGTAAATTAAGGGAAAAATATAACGTTTTAACTATAAGTAACACTTTAGTCTGCTTGCTTGTTCCTGTTCTAGTGATCTTAATTGTATATGTGATACGGGATGGGATCCTCAGCCACTCTCTCCTTCAAGTGATATATATATATATATACACACACGCAATATGTATTAGAGGGGACCAAGGGGCTGGATAGGGGGAGGGGCTAGTGATCCCATGCATTGTAGATTATATGCATGTAAATTTAGGACAATGAATGAGATAGATGACTATGTTCAAATATGAGACATTTAAAGGGAAAAAATTGTAATAAAACGATTGTTGAGTCGAGGGATGGGGTGTATGTGCAGGGGAGTGGGTGGCGGAGTGGAATGTGAAGAACGCGACGAAGGAAGACTACCGGAGGTATGGCGAGGCGCAGTTGAAAGTGTTCGGGCGCGCGAGTTTCGGGTGGTCTTATTGGTGTTTGAAGAACAATGAGAAGCATTGGAGCTTGGAATGGATGATCAACAATGGATATATCAAGCTTTGATTTGATCATTTGACTATCGATCTTTTCAAGTGTTATACTAATTCTTCTTTTTGTTGGTGTTGTTGCATTTAACGTTATGTATTAACTCTATAACCTTCTGAAATAAATTGATATGCATAGTTGCTGACAAGATTTTGTTTTTTTTTTTTTTCAATATATAAATGAAAATTAATATAAATATTGATAAGGAAGTTTGTGTAAGAGAAAAAAAATAAAAATAAAAGACTAGTATTTAATTAGCACGTAACTCATGTATAAATATTTTAAGTATGGCCTTATCAAAGTAATTTAAGTTTATTAAATATTTTTAAATATATAATAAAATTTAACATTAAATATATATTTAATTTTTAATTTTTAATTTTTTAATTATCAATGATTTATCATAATTAAATTTATTTAAATTAATATAATTTATTTTTATAAAAATTATGTAAAATATAACTAAAATTATTTTTTAAAAAAATAAATTGCATGGTTGAAATTGGGCCAGGCCTACCTCAACATGAACTTTAAACAAAATGGGCTAATCTGGCACTAAAAAAATCGGGTCACTATAAATCTGGCCGGGCCTACCCAACAATGTCTTAATTGTAAGCACTGCCATAACAATATTGAAAGAGATGTTAAAACAAAACTATGAGAAATGATGCGTGAATATAATGTTTCAAATAAAAATAAAAACATATGGAAAGTGTATTAAAACAATGAAAATTAAATAAGATAAAATTGATGTAAATAAATAACTAGTAGCAATTTGAATCTTATAAACATTTTTTTATTTTTTATTTTTTATTTTTTATTTTTTTATCATTAACACAATATATATATATATCAAAGTAATTTTTATTTTACGGTTAAAACGTAAGAATATTTAACACATTATATTATAGTTCAGTAATTTGTTTATACCACTCTATTTTTTTACTCGTGATAAAATGTCTTAACATACACAGAAATGCATTGCATAATAGTTCTACTGGCCACCAAAATATTTTATGTTTTTCGAACAAAAAAAAAACTAATTTTACATGTATATTTGTTTGAGAAATTTTGCCAAAAATTTACTATTCATTCAAAAAAATTTCCCAAAAAAAAATAAAATCAAATACCTATTTTTTTTTTTTTTTTTTTTATATTATTCTAAAAATAAGTAGCCCTATTTCAATTCAAATTTTTATTATTCAAATCCAAACCTCGAAACCAACGCACTCACAAAAACTACATCAATGCCAACAAACACGCAGACACCAGAACAAACTTCCATAGGAGATTTGTCTGTCTAAATAACCATAAATGCACTCAGGAACAGGGACAGGTCCAACAGGACACTCCAAAAATTTCCAAACCTTTTCCTTCCAAATTAATTGAAGCATTCCTCTCATCCATCATAATAAATATATTTAAATTCAAACCCAATTTTATTGGACTCCACAAACCTCGTGACATTCTTACACCATATCAGACACACAGAACACACAGGAGCAAAGAAACCCTCTTTCAACAGCAAAGCATGTTTCATGTGAAACTCCCATCCTCTATGTACTTTCCACATTAAATTCCAACACTCCCTCTATATATATATAATACTAATCATCATATCCCAATATGTAATATCCTGTTTAGCACCTACATCACCCCCCCCCCCTCCCCCCACCCTCTTCTATGTGCCCTCTCTCTTTCTCTATCTAAGTTATAAAGCAATGGAAATGGTCAGCAGAGCATTGTTCTTTCTATTACTTCTTGGTTCTGTAAGAGGCCTCAGACCTTATCATTGTAAGTGCACACAACCTAGATCACATCTATATATATATATATTCCTGAGATATAACATATTGACTGTTATGATGTTGTCCAGATTCCTACCATAGCAAAGGCACTAACAAGAGTGGACAAAACCATGTGGACTACAAGGTATATATATATATATATATGTGTCATCACACTACATTACTATTTAATCTTCATGATATATTAAAGAGCACAAAATATGGCAAGTAATAACACTGTGAATGCAGTTTTATAAGTTGGTGTTTGTGTGTGAGCAGGAAGAGGAGATAGGGATGGAGTTATACCCGACGGGGTCAAGCCTGCCGGACTGTTCCCATGCTTGCGGCGCCTGCATGCCCTGCCGGAGGGTTATGGTCAGCTTCAATAAATGCTCGGTGGAGTCATGCCCCATCATCTACCGCTGCATGTGCAAAGGAAAATATTACCACGTTCCATCGAATTGAAATGCACCATTGCATCGATATTGTTGTTCTGTTCTTTTCCAGGATTTAAAGTTTAGAACTTTTAGAATTATTAAGTGTAATGTAGAGGAAAGCAGTACCTGTAGATCAGCAGCTACAGAGATGTAAATACCGGAGTAACCCCCAGTTTTGGTTTCGATTCCTTTTCTCCATTGTCTAATGTACTTTGGCTAATAGTTTGACGTGCTTTCTTGCTCAACGTTAACCTGTGTCGCAGTTTTATCCTCACTAAACATTACTAATCCCGATGTTTCTCCCCTGTGTGCTCAAATTTTGGTTTAGACAAAGCAATCCAGATGAAGACAGCTAAAGAACACATTTTTAATATGAGAGATTTAAATTACCACTGTAAAATTATATATACATGATTAGAGTAAACTGCATTGTATGGCAATCTAAATTATATCTATAGACATGAAAAGGGTTTCATCTACTTACTATTCATCTTCATTCTTTTCGAGTTCAAGCCCCTCTGCTGCCAGAAGCCTGCGCAAGATCTTTCTCTTATCATCTTCAGCTTTTCTCCTCATTAAATCTCTTTTTCTCAGGATGAGGGTGTGTCTCCTTAAAGTGATTTGGACACTCAATTCAGATGCCTTTTTCTCTTTCTCCAGTATCCTCCTTTCCTCTTCCGGATCAATCTGAATTTCAAAATAGTATTTAACACAAACTCAGTTCCATTCTTGTGGCAGTGTAGTGTTTTTCAATTGAGAATGGCAAGAATATCTAATGATAAAACAGCAGTATCGGGATTAAAACAACAGTGTCGGGATAAATGTCTACTATGATGCCTTCTGTATAGTACCTTTGAACGAGCAAGACGCCGAGCCCGGAGATTCATTTCAAGCTGTTGTTGTTCAGCCCAAGCTGCAACTGCCATATAACCTCTTTGGTCAAATGCTTTTTGCTTCTTCATAAGCCACTCCATCCATGCTTGAGATGCCTAATTACAATAGAAATTTGGTGCATTAAACATGGGAAATATTGGAAAAGAAAATTTGAAGAACAGAAGCAAGTAAGACACTTTAAGCTCATCTGATGAGTTTTAGCTAGACATATTGATCTAATCACACAGACAATAGACACAACATCAAGATCAATAATTCCACGGGAAAACAGAAAACATATGGAATCATAAGAATAGACCATTACTGGAATGACGCTGTCTCATATTTGCACATACACTCGATGGCAGACAAGCAAATCCTTAATTTTCCTTCTATATTATAGCCAAAAAAAAAAATAGCAATTATCTAACTTTGTAGGATCAGAAGTCACAGAATTTTAAATAATCTTCAGAAGCTAGTGCGAATCTATGGTAATATGGAATCAACTGTCACCTTCATTGGATTAACACGGTTGTCAATGTCATATTGCCTCCGTTTTTCCTTATCTATAAGAAGCTCGTATGCAGCCTGAATTTTTATAAATCGAGCATCGGCTGTTTCACCTTCATCCAGCGTCCCTCTTCCATCATAAACTATAAGCAGATCAAATCGTTTCCATTAGTTCAGGTCTTCGAGAAGATCATTAAACTTCCAGCTTCAGGAATCAGGAACAACACAGGAAGGAGAAATATGAACTAACCATCAGGATGATAGAACTTAGCCAAACGTCGGTAGGCTACCTTAATTTGCTCTTCAGATGCATTTCTTTCCAATTCTGCAAGCGGGAGAAATAACAAAGCACGGAAAACGGAATCAGGGGGAAACAGAGAGTACTAAAAATTTCTGGATGAATCTATCTAAAATCTTCACTGTTAGGCTAAATTTAATTGTCCCCAAATCTTTACCATTACTTCAAAAAAAATTTATGATCACAAAGATTGATCACGCTCATAAAAAAAAACAAAAAAATCACAGAGTTGAACACTAAACAAATTTTACCTAGAGTGTCATAGGGTGATTTAGAGTCGGTCCAGTTAGAAGCTCTCAGAGCCACCATTCTTCTCTGTCGATTCAACCTCTGCCACCCCTCACACTTCCTCTGTTCTCCCAATCGATCAAACGCAACCGAAAAATTCGACGAAAACGACTTAAACATGGAACTATCGCAACTTCCAGAAACTGACGAAACCTTCATCATTGACCTGCGACAGGAGGCCGGAGAAGAGAACACGGCGTGTGGCCTACACATCGACCTCAAATTGCTCATATTCTCCATTTCGAAGCAAAACTGATGAAAATTTTGCTTGCTTAATTCTGGAGTCGTTCGAATTGCCAAAGATGTTTGAAGACGTGAAGGAGTGGAACTGTGAAATTGACGAATTCGATCACACTCTTTGTGTGGATTTGTTTCGCTCCAAAATTAGTGGAAAGTTTGAGAACGGAATCAGTAAATTGACGATTTTGCCCTTCTGCTCAGGGTACTCTCGCTTAGGGCCAAATTAATTTTGTCTACTTATTTAAAATTCATACCTATAAATTAAATTTTGTTTGTCCAATCAATTTTTTTATTGTTCTCACTATATAAATGTATATTTTTTTTATTATCTCATAAAAATTTAATATTAATCCAAAAGTATTATTTTTTGTATTATTAACATAATTTTTTGTATCTCACTTATAAATGTGCAAAAATATATTCTATGATGTTCAGTTTTCTAATTAGTTAAACATAAAAAAAGTCCATAACAAAGTCAATTCAAACTAAGACATGAAAATTTAAAAAATAAATAATATTAAATCTCGGTCGAACCTAATATCTTGCAAATCAGACCCGACAGAAAAATTATACTAGGCGAACTATGTGTTGCGGGTGACCTGAGGCGTCGAAGGTTTAACCCATCACCTCGTAATCACAAGTCGAACCCCTACATTACATGTCATCCTTAGGGACAATTTAATATTATTTTTATTACTTGTAAGGATGGAGTTAAATTTTTTATATAATTAATAATGTAATTTTTAAATTAAGGTAAAAAGAATGGTGACAATAGTATAAATAATATAAAAATAATTGGTAAATTTTTTTTAAAAGTTGTATAATAAATCAATTTATATATCATTATCCAATAGTCTACCACAGCTTTCCATTAGGGTGTGTTTGTTTGGGAGATTAGATTCTCAATCCACTATTCATCCCATTTTTTTCATTAAAAAATATCAAATCAAACACTTAGTTTTTTTTTATATTATACTAAAAATCAATTTTATATTCAAAACATCACATCAACACCTATTTATATCACATCATACAACTATTCAAATTCAAAATTTTTACTATTTAAATTCCAAGTTAAAATCAAAACCCCCAAACAAACACACCTCAGGGTAAAACTTATCATAAGTAATTATATTAGAGGCAGCAATTTTGGGCCTATTCGAACTTTTCATGAAGGCCCGGCCCAATTTTAAATCAAACTTGAAAGTCTAAGCCCAAGTGTGGTCGGGGCCACACTTGCCTCATTTTTATTTTTATTTTTTATTTTAAAATGTATTCTGTATTTTTTTTTTATTAAAAATAAATTATATTTTCCTTGTCGACTTCAATTTATTTTTTTGGTCAAAATATAAAGTACCTAATTTTTTTTAGCAAGTGTGGCCTCCGTCACACATTATACATACCTTTACTTTTATAATTATTTACCTCAATATTTTTACATTGTATTAAAATATAATATTTATTAAATTATGTGACAAAAAAAAATGTTTATGTCTTAAGCCGGGGGAGGAGTAATAATTTAAATAAATATAATTATAATATTAAAAATAATATTATTGATAACTAAAAATTTTAATATTAAATATATAATTGTTTATTTTATTATATATTTATAATATATTTTAAAAATATTTAAATTAAAAATTTATTCGATAAATCGTGTGGCCAGACACGGTCCAGATTTTTGATAGTGCTACATTGGCGATCCAAAAAAATTTTGATACCTAATTTTGTGGTTCTAAGTACTTATTTTGTATCGTACTCAATCAAATTTTCGAATGATGTTCATTTTTTCCGATTATAAATTATATAAACTTTATAAATAAAAATAAAATATAGTAAATAAATGGTGAAATGCTGGGTATGAGACATAATATCAGCTATAAAAAAAATATTGGCTTCAATTTTAGTTTTTGTTAGTTTTCTAACTTATGGTTGTATTTTATACTACCTCCGTCCCAGATACCATATCCACGTTGCCGTTTCTCTCCGTCGCACATACCATGTCACTTTCATTTTTTAAAAAAATGATTACACACTTTAATCTCATTTTAAATTTTTAATTTTTTTTTAAATTTTAATTAAACTAATTAGTTATCTTAATCTTAATTTATAATTATTTATATTATAGGATAATTATTTTCACTAATACATTCTTAATTATTTACTAATTAGATCCCTCCTAAAATACCGTGTCTACAGTGGAGCAGACACGGTATCTGGGACGGAGGGAATAGTATTTTAAGAATAATTATATTTTTATTGTTAGTTATCGAAAATTATAAGATATTTTTTAAATTGTAAAAAGAAAAATTAAAGGTCGGTGAAGTAATTTTGTTTTTCAAATATTTTATAAAATAAATTAATATATATTTTTATTAAAAAATGAATATAATATTTTCTTTGAAAATGATGTAATGTTTAAAAAAAGAAACCTCGAGCAAATATTATTTTGGAACCGAAATTTGGTGTTATTACCACATTCACTTTGGCGTTCAAAATATTTCTCCATTTATTGAAAAAAATTTCTCAGTAGTAACGCATAGGCTTTTATCCAATTTTGAATTACTCACACTCCATGCACGTGCTGACATCCTTCACTTTCATATTTTGGAAATTTGGGTGTTATTTTGTAATTTTGTTTATGTAATATATTTTAAAAATTTTATATTTTTATTCTCCCTCCGTCCCAGGAAATATGGGTCTATTATGGTAGATACGATAATTTAAATAAAATATAATTAGTAAGTAATTAAGGAGTGTATTAGTAAAAATAATTATAGATTAAGATTAAGATAAGTAAATTGTTTAATTAGATTAAAGATATTATAAAATATAAATTTTAAAAATATGATTAAAGTGTATAATCGTATTCTCAAAAAAAGAAAGGACAAATTATGTAAGACGGACAAAAATAGAAAACAATGACAAATTATGCGGGACGGAGGGAGTATAAAACATGAGGATGTTCACTCAACATTTTTAAATGAGTTGATTTTTGTATGCATGATATAGCGAACTGTGTTGGTAATACAAAATGTAATATTTTTGTGAATGATTGAATTTTTATGAGTGAACAATGTATATATTATATTAATGTGTGTATATATTTATATCTTTTTTAGTGATATTTATGACAATTGTTCTATTGAGAAAATACTGAACACCGTTATATTCAATAATTATATTTGTATTTTATTACTGGTTGAATTTAAATTGACATTTTGCTCTCAATTATATATATATTTTTTCTAATATTACATCAAATGAACTTATTCAACATTTTTCAAAATTTTTTTCCAATAAATAAATATTATATATAACTAATATTTATAGTTTTTTATAAAATTAATTTATATTAATAATGTATAAATATATATATTTTTATTACATAAAAGTACATTGTATACATTTTATAAAAATATATATTTAAAATAATATAAATACAATATAAAAATTGACAATATAATTTATATACAAAGTAATATTTATGTGGGATAAATAGAATATATATTTTTGGTATGCAACCAAATAATATTTATATATGGTAATACATATTTTTATCAATAGTATCTATTTAAATATTCACTATTTTTTATTTAAAACATATATTCTTATAATACAATTTAAAAAAAAAAAAAAAAAAAAAAAAAAAAAAAACCAAACAACACCCAAATATAAAAGAGAGTACAAATAGTGTGATATTTAGTTAAAGAGGGGCAAAAATGGAGAAATCAGAATCAGCGCAGAATAATCGTCGTCTCCGTTAATCCCCAAATCTCTGCGCCTGAGAAACATCATCGGCCATGGCAGCAGAAGCAGTGAAATTCGTCTCTGCACTTCTCTTCCTCGCTCTCCTCACCCATGGTACGCTGCACCTCTGCTCAATTTTGGATTCAATTTCTCAACCGAAACCTGATTTCGCAACCATCTCGCCGGAAAAATTTCAGTGCAACGAAGCGTGTACTCAAAACGACGACGTAGAGATCAAACAAATCGCGTCGGGGAGAACGATGTACGGAGGAAAAACGGAGTTTATTGCGATGGTATCGAAGAGAGGCGGCGGCGACTGCAAATTGAGGAAGGTAGAGTTGAACTGCGGAGGTTTCGAAACGCCGGCGCCGGTAGATCGGAATATTCTGGCGAGAGACGGAGATACCTGTAAGGTTAACAATGGCGGACCGGTATACGAACCGGTCGTCTTCAGTTACTTTTCCGATGAGTATTTCCGATTCGAAATCTCTTCTTACGAGTTAATATGTGATTGATGAGATGATATTTTCAATTTTATTTTCAAATTTATTATTAGTATTATTATTTTTGGTCTTATCAATTTCATTTATTTGGGATTCTCTAATTAAGATTTTGTTTACTTGTCTTTTTATATTTGGATAGAGTTATTTATGGTTTAAATGAAAAATGAGTTTTGAGAAATTAAAATATTAAATAAAAAAAAATTTGTGTAAGTAAAAAATATTGAGTTTAAGTATTGGTTCAATTGTTAGAAAAATAATAATACTATCTTTAGTATTTTTTTAATATTAAAAATATTGTTATGTTTATATAATTTATTCTAGATATTTTTGTCTTTTATTTATTTTTATTTTTTTGGTCTAAGGTACCCTTTTCTATCTAAATATATAATTTTTTAATTTAATTACTAAACATAATAAATATCATTACAACTTATAATATACTCTCTCCATCTCATCTATCATGTCCACATTGTCGTTTTTTTAAGTCTCACATCCCATGTCACTTTTCTTTTTTGGAAAATGATTATACACTTTTATCTCATTTTAAATTTTCCAATTTAATTTTTTTTTTATTTTAATTAAACTAATTAGTTATTTTAATATTAATCTATAATTATTTTATATTATAGGATAATTATTTTTACTAATACATTCTTAATTATCTACTAATTATACTTATCATAAATTTTCGTGTCTACAGTGACCCAGACATCCAACGTGGGACGGAGGGAGTATTATACAATTGTTATTACTTTTATATTACACCATACTGATAGGATATTTTGATCTTTTTTTAATAAAAACCAATATATTACTAATATTTTCAAATCTACGTGTAAAAAAGAAACAATACTTTTGTTTCGAGAGGGATA